TCTAGGATTTCAGCCTGGCCTTGAGAGGCGGTGGCTCAGCCCGGGGAGCAGAGCGAGCGGAGGCCCTAAGCCTGAGCCGGGACCACCTGCCGCTGCGCCCCCACTCTGGGCTGCGACGGCGGGCAGGTCGCGGCCACACGGGTGTAAGCGCTGGCACTGAGACGAGCCTGCGGGCCGCGGCTTCCTCGGCCATCCCAGTCCACAGCGAGGGGCGCGTCCCGTCTGTGCAGGGTGGCGTCCAGCCGCAGCAGCCGGTGCTCCCGCCGCGCCTCTGGGAGGAGGCGCTGTCCTGCAGAGCCGCTCCCCAAACGCGGCCTGGCCTTGCAGCCACCCCGACTTCTTCTCACTCTTCCCTTCCCTCCCCTTCCCCTCACTTCACCCAGATCCTTAACAGGAAAGGGTCACTTGGAGATACCGCAGGGGACACAAATGTCATGGGGGCTAGTCAGGCCAACACCAAGGGGTGGGGACGTTCAGCTGGCACCAGCCAGGGGATCCCATTTCAGTCCCGAGGGCCAGCTGGACCCAGAAAGGGACAGTCTTTGCCCTTCTGGTAGCCAACGTGCCAAAACCGCAGCCTTGAGCACACAGACGAACCCCCACAGCCCGTCTGGGTAGAGGGTGGCAGCCCGCGGCAGAGACCACCTGAAGAAGCAGGCCGGGGGATCTGGGAAAGCATCCGAGCCAGCAACTTGGCCCATGAGTTCTTGGGGTGTTTCTGGAAGCATTCAGGGCCACGTGCAGCAGGCGCTCCAGGGCAATGGTACAAAACGCAGATTCTGTGCCTGCAGCCCAGGAACCAGTTTTATGTTTGCCTTTTTTTTTTTCTTCAGCTTTCAGGGGATGGGGACGTGCTGGGGACTGAACCCAGGGCCCAAGGCTACTTGGCTCTACAGGGAACTAGGTCCCTGGCCCTATTTTCCTCCCCGCCCCCCTTTCTTTGAGGTAACACTGATTTGCACCATTTTCTATGCTCCAGGGGCACCTTTCCACACCTCTTCGTAAGTAAGCTGTCACATCACACCCACCAAATTGCCAAGTCCTTCCGGCACCATTAATTATGACCCCGTTGACCCTTGGTGGTCCTCCCCTCGCCTCCCCCCCCCCCCCCCCCGCCAGAGACCTCAGTTCTGAACCCAAAGGGAATCTGCAGTTTAACCTCCAGGAAGGCCCAACTCTGTTCCACAGGGCCATACACGGCAAGGACGCGAGAGGCCTACGCTGTGTCCCCCACTGGGCCCTGCCCGCCTTCTGCCCCAACGCTGTGCTTAGTCTCCTCTGTCATTGCAGCAGTTGTGCCGGGCCTAGAGCCTGGCTCCGCGGAGAGCTGTGGGGAAGTTCAAGCCAGCACCATCCAGGGACAAAGCTCCCAGCCACTTAGCCTGAGTTTCCCAAGAGCTAAAGCCAAAAGGCAATGATGACTGGCCAGGTGCTGCCCTGAACTGTCCATTCAACATGGACTCGGTAAGCATCAGGTTCTGGGCTGGGTCTGCCCATGCAGAAGTGAAAGAAACAAACAGCCTGAGCTCAGGGCAAGCACAACAGAGCGCAGGCTTAGGATGCATGAGGTCCGGGTTTGATCTCTGGCACCAAAAGCTCAATCAACCGACCAGGGATGGAGAGACAGCAGAGCAGGGAGGGTGCTTGTCTTGTGTGTGGCGGACCTGGGTTCGATTCCCCGCATCCCATATGGTCCCCCAGCTCACCAGGAGTGACTGCTGAGGGCAGAGCCAGGAGTAACCCCTGAGCACCGATGGGTGTGGCCCAAAAACAAAAACAAAAAAAAACCCACACACACAACGAAACAACCAACCAACCAGATAAGGTCCCTACTCGGACCTGCCAGGACCACAGAACAGGAAAGCCTGTTCACGCTTAGCGTCAACAGACAGTTCTCCACGTGGGGAATATGCCAAAGTGAACCGCTGCCGCAGATGGGAGCCGTGCGCCTCGCAGCTGCCCTCCGGCCGAGTCCACTGCAGTGACTGGAATCCACGTCAGGGGTTCAGAGAAAGAGATTCCTTATGGCGCTGACTGTTCCAAGGATAAATCTTAAGCTATGTAAGAGGAGGGACCATCTACCCTTCAACTGCAGCAACATGGGGAGAAGGCTTCGCACAGAGCAGGAGCGGGATCGAAAATGTTATGTTCCACGAGGTGAAAATCTATATGCATATGAATAAAGATAAGAAGGGAATATGAAGATTTAAAAATAAAAAAAGACATAAGGGCTCAGGCTCCTTGGAGGGGTGCTCTTAAATCTTAAAATAACAACTTATCATTGCCATCACCTGGCCCACTAGCTCCTGCATCCAAGCCTATTTTAAATGCCTCCTTCAGCCTCGCGCAGAGCTAAGCTGGGAACCAGGGGCTCTCCGGAGGCCCCGCTCCACGCCCCTCGCGCTTCCCGAGCCAGTGAGCCGTGTGCGATTTGAGTCGGCGACTTCATGGCACCCGGGGTACGAAGGCGGTGCCCACTGCCAAGCCACGCAGACTCCAGACCTGACAGCCCAGCTGCCAAGGGGGCCCCAGGCCCACCCACCAGGGAAGGACCAACCGAGCAGAGAAGCTCGGTCCGGGTCCAGGGGGCGGCATCCGCCCTGTGCCTGCTGGGCCACCTCCCCACGGATGCCAAAGAGAATCGGCTCAACACCCTTTTCCTTTCCCTGGGGCTGGCAGCTGAGTCCAGTGACTCACAGCAAGCGAGCAGGCAGGAAGACTCGGCAAACATCAAGCCCCTTCAAAACCTCCGGGGTGACCGTGGTGGGCCAAGCAGTGCCAGCTCAGAAACCCAACACCTGCCGGGCCCTAGACAGACAGACAGCGACAAGTGAAACCCGGCGCCAGCTGCTGCACCTTTATAAAATATACAGAGTAAGCTGAGAGGCCACGGGGAAGCCGCAGCCTCACTCCCGAGCCCACGGGCACCCGCGAGTGGGCACCCCGGCCCGGTCCCCGCCAGGAGCTCACATCCCCCATGTCCACACCCACGGCACAGCCGCTGGCTGTCTCGCTCATCTCCAAGACAACACCTCCTACGCCCCCGCCCCCCAAACACCACCGGCCTTCCACACACTCCTGACCCCGTGCGGGTGGCACTGGAGCCCCGCAGCCACCACCAGGGCTCTGTCCCAGCGTCAACCTGGCACAGAAGCCACCGAAGAAAACTCCAGTCTTGGCATGATCATCTCGAGAGAGGGGGAGTAAGCTGTCTGAGGCATATGATCTTACACAAGAATCCTCTTCTGGAGGGGGGGGGAGAGAGAGAGAAAGAGAGAAAAATCAAAGAGAAATCAGACCTCCTTCAGTCTGGGCAGGGAAAGGAAGGGGAAAGAAGACAAGACGGAGAGGTGGTGCGGGCAGGAAGCGGCCACACAGGCCAGAGAAACTCGAGCAGGAAGAAAAGGAGCAAAAGTGGCAGGTCTACCAAGTCGCCACTCCAGCAACCCCCGCACCCTGGGGCTGGGCCCCCAGCTGCCTGTCCCTTCTTCCCCTGGGTCAGATGGGGGAGGCCAAGCATTGCATCATTAAGTGGAGACACCGGACACCAGCCCTGTTTCGGAAGCGCCGGGGACAGTGCTGTGTGGGCACCGCGTGGGGCCCGCACCTTGCAGCCCCACCCATCAAGGCTGTCCCCCCACCCCCCTGGGAGGAGGGCATCCAACTGCCCACATATCTCTATGGCAACCATTGTCTCCAACTCAAGGTACCCAGAGAAAAAGAAACAACAAATAAATCAACTTAATAGCCAAGAGCCAGAGCTGGGGGCTGGGTGGGCAAGACCAGCCCTGTTTCTGGGGACGCAGGGCTCCCCCCACCCCCAACGGGCAGGAAACAGGCACAGTCCTGCTAAAACAGGTCTAATAACTGTCAGCGTGACATAAGCCCCCTGTCATCTCGGTGGCGTTTTATAGCCTTTCCGAGGCTTGGGGACATCTATTACGTCTCTCCGCCCAGAAACACCCAGGTCATTACCGGCCGGAGCCCAGAGCCTCGGCTGGGCTCCTGGCGCATCCTCACTCCTGTCTCTAGCCTGGCGACTCACCCCTCGGCTGCACCCCGAGGGGCTGCACCCTGCAGCCCTCAATGGCCTGACCCAGCCCCCCTCTACTCACTAGCCCTGTGCACAGAGCATTTCACACACGGCTGGGTCTCTGACTATCAGATGAGGTGAGCCTGGCACACGCCCAATACTAGGCTCAGGGAGTGTAAGCAGGAGGTGTGAAAGACGGGCCTGGCCCTCCCAGCCTCAGGGGCCAGGGAAGCAGATCTCCCTATCCCAGCTCCAGGAACCGGAGCCTTCCCAGCCCAGGCCCCCACCAGGAGAGAGTTCCAGACCAGGCCGTCCCCCCTGGCCCAGGAGAGGCTGCTTCTGCACCACCAACTTTGTAATTTGATCAAAAAAGCAATCAATTTCATCTGCCAGGCCGCTCGCAGAGGAGCCCTCTCCAAGGCCAGCCTGCGAGGAGATGCCCGTCCCTGGGAGCCTGTCCGGCCGCCTGGTGGGCACCGCACCGGAGAGCTGGATCTCAGAGCTGCTCCCTTGAAGCCATTCCCATCCGACTCACCACAGGGGCGACCACAGACAGGCCAGCAGTGGTGCCCAGCTGCCCCAAAGCGGGAGACGGGAACTGCTCCAAATGAAATGCTCTCCATTCCACACACCACACGAGACGCCTCCCGATCCCCCACCTCGCCTGGGCAGACGGGAACTCCCTGGACCTTGAGGAGCTGCTACCCCTTCCTCCCGCACCAGGCGCTTCTGCATCTTCTCTCTTCTCACCTGAGCATCGCCAGGCTCTCCACACCGCTTCAGGCCCGGGCGGCAAATGCCAGCTCACCCTCAAACTCCAACTCTTCCCCCAAGTGCTTGCTCCAGCACCAATTTCCATCGCCTGAAGCATCTTGGAATGAAGTCCCAGCATCTGAACAACCTGCCACCTACTTGCCCCCTCCACCCGCTTCCCCTCCCCCCCCACGCTGAGACCGGGTGCACTCACCCCGGGCAGACAACTTCTTGGTATTGATGATTTTCGCTGCATATTCCTGGGTGGAGGTTTTCTTCACACACCTGCGGACCACAGAGAAAGCACCCCTGGAGGGAGAAGGGGGAAAAAGCTGGGACACGGAGCGGAGCCAGGTGCCCGTGCCTGAGTCTACACCGAGCAATGCCTGCGCTGACACGCATTAGGTCTGAGGCCCCTGCTCTCCGCAGCCCGCCCCTCAAACTAACGCACACACGCTCGCACACCCGGAGGGGTGGACGTCTGCCCCCAGGGGCAGCTCCGCGCTAGAGAAACACCCACTCCACCTCCCTGTCTAGTGCCCGGGAGAGCGAGCGAGGGGCCCCAACCTCAGGCTGTCCGTGGGGGAGGGGGATGCTGAAACACACCTGCTGCGTCTCGGGCATCCCGGTACCCTGCAGCCTGGCCGCACCGGGCAGGGGGGCGACGGAGGGGAGGGGGCGCATCCCCGCGCGGAGAAGCCTCCCTGGCCCCGGGGGTGGGAAGGCGCGGAAAGTGCGGCCCGGCGCGGGCGCGGGTCCCACGGCGCGGGGCGCCTCGGAGGAGCCCCCCGCCCGGGGGGCCGCGGCGGCGGAAACGGCGAGGGGGGCGGGCGGGGCGGGGGCTGCGGCGGCGGCGGCGGCGGCCGGCGGGCGAGCCGAGGGGAGGGGGATGCGGCGGCTGCGGCGCGCGGCGCCGGGACCACTGCAGGGGTGGGGGGAGGGGGTGCCGCAGCGGTGCCCGGCCGCGGCGGCCGCGGGGGCGGGGCCGGCCCCCACATCCCCCCGCGCCCCCCGACACGCGCGCACACACATGCACACCCGCGCGACACACTCGCGCGCGCGCGCACACGCACTCACACTCGCGCACACACGCGCACACACGCGCGCTCGGAGCGCGGCCCCGCGGGCGCTGCGGGGCCGGGCGGGTCGGGCCGGGGGCTGCGGGGCCGGGCGGGGGGCGCGGCGGGCCGGCGGCCGGGGGGCGCACGCACTTGCCGAGCTCCTCGAAGAGCTGGTAGTCGTCGGTGAAGCGGGTGCAGGTGGCGGTGGTGGCCATGCTGGCGCCGCAGCCGAGCCCACGTCGCTGCACAGTCACGGCCGCCGGCCGCGGGAGCAGAGGAGGAGACGGGGCTGCGCCCGGCAGCACCGCGAGACTTTACCGGGGCGCGCGGGAGGGCGGCGGGAGGGAGGGGGAGGGCGGAGGGAGGGAGGGACACCCCCGCGCCCGCCCCCCGCGCCCCGCCCCCCGCGCGCGCCCCCCGCGCCGGCCCGCCCCGGGGAGGGGCCTGCGCGCGCGCCGCCCCGGCCCGCCGCGGCCGCCGGACCCCGCGGGTCCCGCGGCGCCCGGAGGCCAAGGTCACCGGCCGCCGCGGGACGCTCCCGGCCCGGCCCGGCCCGCGGGAGCCGGCGGTGTAGACGGCGACGCGGAAAAGCCGCTGCCCGCGCGGCGCGGCGCGGCGCGGTCGGGAAGAGCCGGGCAGGGGCCGGGCCGGGCGGGTGGGGGCGGGGGCGCCGCCTTCCTGCGCCAGACGCGGTGGGAAGCGGCGGGGAAGAGGCCTGGCGGGCTGCGGCCGGACGGGCCGGTGCAGGAAGGAAGGGCGGGACGGGCTAACGGGGCCGCGGGCTGCGGGGCGCCTTGCGGGGGCTCCCGCGGGGGTCGCACGGGCCGTCGTGACGGTGCCGTTGCAGAGGGAGCGGGCTGGCCGGGGGGAGTGGGAGCTGGGCTGCGACCGCCCCGCCTGCGCGTCCGGCCGGCTGCTGGCTGGATGGCACTGCCCAGGGTCTGATGGGGCGATGAAGTTACTTCATCTCTCCGTGCCCAAGGGGGCACTGTGTGGAGAGTGAGGCTGCGTCTCCGCGGGCACTTTCGGTGCCTGAGCTGAAAACACGGGGAATAAAAAGTAGCGTCTCCCCCAGGTTGTATTGAGCGGAATAAATCATGCCGAGCACCGAGAGTAGTCCTGGTGCCTCATTAGAGCTGTGCGCGCTGTTATTATTCAGTATCTGCTTTCCTGGGTCTTCGGGGAGAGAGTGCAGCAGGTAAGGTCCTTGCACGGCCGCCCCAGCTCGGAGCCGGCACCCCATATGGCCGGGTGTGCCCTGCCGGGAATGATCCCTGAGCTCAGCTGGGTGTAGCCCCCAAGTTGTGTTTTGCTTCCCCTTCACTCTGCAGGCTCACATAGGACGCCGCTCTAGACTGAGCCCAAGAACCCCTGCAAATATTGGAGGAGGAAAGGGGGTCCTGGCGGGTCTGGCAGAAGCGCTCTCAGCCTGCCCCTGTGTGTCTCTGTCTCTGTGTCTCTGCCTCTCTCTCCCCCCTGTCCCCCTCTCCCTCTGCAGAGGATGGGGAGCCGGATCTCCTAACTGTCTAGGAGGAGGAACGGGCTGGGCAGGTTCCTGACCTGCCAGGGCACCTGCACCCCAAGTCAGGGGCCGGCCCCAGCCGGCGGGAGGAGCCCCGCAGAGACTGCAGTCAGCCTTGATTACAGCAGGACGCCCACTGGGAGTTGGGCCTCCATTGTCGGCTGACGGGTGGGTGGAGCCCGGCTCCCTCCCCAGCAGCCTGGGCGCAGAACCAAAGTGCGCACTGGGTGGGTGGGTGGCTGGGGGGTGGTGGAAAGGAAGCCTTAAGGGTGGCCTGGGAGCGGGGTGAGGGGGCCGAGGGGAAGGCTTGAGGTGACAACACCAGCCCCACACCTCCCAGGGCAACAGGAAGTCAGGCCCTGGGGAGCAAGGCCACTCCCCGCGGCGAGGTTAGAGCCTGAGCAGGCGCTTCGGGGTGACGGTGAGACTGGAGCCCTGGTCACGCCCCTTTCTGCCAGAAGCGCAACAGCTCCCCCACACTCTTGTAATTAAAAGGAAGCTGGGAGGGGGCACCCCCTGCCCTGCTCAGGCATTACTCCTGGCCATATGGACCCTACAGAGTGCTGGGATGGAGCCCAGGTCAGCCGCTTGCAAGGCAGATGCCCTCCCCTCCCCCCCCCACTACCGCCCTGGGCCCCTCACCCACTCTCTTGGGGTGCACCCCTTTGGCCCCCAGACTGGTTGCCCACCTCTGTGCCCTTGCGGGACCACAAGATAATTTGGTGGCTGATGCCAGATGCTGATGCTGGACCTCATAGTCCTGAAGGCAGAAGCGAGGACCCAGAACATACAGAGGCTAGGATGCGGATACGGGGGAACACAGGAATCAGGGTGCCCGCCCCCACTTTCCCCAGGAGCCTGCTGAGCTAGCAAGGCCAGGGGGTCAATGCTGGGGTGTGTGTGTGTTAATTTTAGGGTAACCCTGCAGTATCATTGCAATAGGTGCAATAAAGCACTGGGTGTTGAGTATGTGAGTAAAAGGGAGATGAGAAAAATATTGGGGTGAAGCCTTGGGGATGACTCATCTACTAGCTACCTTTCAACAATATTTATCAACTGCAGAGCGAGCTGTGCCTGGCTCTTTGCGAAATACGCGAATAAAGTGGAAAATTACAGTTTACACCATTAGAAGGAAGGAACTCAATCAATTTGCTCCTTTTTCCTTTCCCTCTCTTCTCCCCGCCCTCCCCTCCCCCTACTACTTTTTCCAGGCAGTCCAGACTCTGATGTGACCAAGGTGGCAATTTGGATCCTGTAGACACTTTGGTGTGCGCAAACACACACACACACACACACACACCCTCGCGCATAGACCCTCCCTGGCCCCTATCACTGTAGCACCCACACAACTTCCAGCTACCCCAGAGCAATTAGAGAGAAGATACAGATAAATAATAATGAGTTCACCAGCAACCTGCATATCAGTATCTATGGCAACCTCTCATGGGGTCCTCAAGCTGCACTGTTCTGGTTGCAGCCGGTCCCCTGGGCAGTGCCAGCACTCAGAGACACAGGAAATCGATGTCCCACTCAGTCCTCAGTGGACGCTGCCGGGTGGGACCCTTTGTCACTCTGCCCAGCTTTCTCTTCGGCAATGCCTAAATTTATCCCAGCAGACTGGCCCCCCTGAATCCAAGAACCTTCCCTCCTGGATTCAGGAAGTATCATTTGGAAGTATTATTCTTCAGATCTGAGGAAAATGGGGCCGTTGAAAGCAAGGAAAGTCTGATCTGCAAAGGCAGGGCTGATGCTCTTGGAAATGAAGAATCATTCTCTGCTCCCCAGGGAAGCTGGGGAATGAAGGAAATCACCCCGTGTTGCTGAGAGTTTCTAATCCACATTCTGGAGGATGCTCCAAGTTACTTGGGCACGACACAGTGTCTGCTCAACACTTACATTGGGCTCTAGAGAAGATTTTGTTGAAGAAAAAGAGTCTCTGACTTTAAAAGCAAACAATGCCCTGAATGAAGTTTGGAACCCACAAGACGAATGCCTCCTGAAGCCCCCTCTAGCTCTGAGGCTTGATGGCAAGTGTGGAGAATTAAGGTTGATAATATTGTGGCTTCTTTCTGAAGACTCTGAAAATGGTGAGGCAGAGATGATGGGGAAAGGGAAGGATGGGAATGGCATTTCCTTTCTTTCATTTTTCTTTTTGGTTTCTGGGCCACACCCAACAGTGCTCAGGGATAACTTCCAGCTCTGTGCTCAGATATTCGTGACTGGGGGTCAGGGGGACTCTGTGCAGTGCTGGGCACTGAAGCGGGTGGGTTGTATGCAAGGCAGACACCCTCCCCCTGTGTCATCTCTCCAGCCCAAGGTGAGAAGGGCAAATGAAAACATTCCAGTAAGCCATCGCCAGACAATGAGGAGGAAGAGAGGCCCTGGGTTCTTCTGGAAAACAGAAAACCGCAGCCGTGTGCAGGAGCTTGATCTGCTTTGTGTCCCGAGAGGTACTCTTGTCTTCAGTGGAACTGTGTCCCTCCTGAGCCTGAGAGCTGCACAGGGGGTTCGAGGAGCAGAGAGTGAGGGCTGAGTGAAGGCTGGGGAGAGGCCGGGTCTGGGTTGCATTCTTTTAATGAGGGAACTTGGGAGTGGCACGAAAAGAAAACAAACAAACAAGCAACCGCAGATGAAATCCCTGGCTGGGGCTTTTTTTAAAGGAGAAGGGGACGCACTTCTAGGAGTGGGGCTGAGGTGGGGCTGAGAGTGGCTCAGGGCGTTTGGGGAGCAGAGTGTGAAGCGTGGGGCTGAGGGTGTGGGACCCGAGGAGCTGACAGGGGAGCTCAGTCGCTTCCATTTTCCAGCAGCTTGATTGCTAACAACCCGCCCCTGAGTCCCCGTCACAACTCCCACTGGGGACCCCGCGACTCAGGCTACCTGATGATCTTTCTGCTCCTGGTCTCGACACCACGCAGGAGCTCCGGCATAGCGTAAGCGTTCTAGAAGTGTTTGTAGACGGAATGAAGTGGTGTGGGCAGGGAGTTGAAATGTGGGGGCTGGAAAGAGAGCATCAGGGAACTGACAGCTGCCGTCGGAGGGGAAGCGGGGGAAGCGAGGTCGCGCTGCGGGCTGGAAGAGTGGCGCGTCGCGCCCCCTGGTGGGCACCTCGGAGGTGTACAGGGCGCCTTCCCAGAGGGAAGAGAGGAATTGGGGAGAGGGGGGGTCTTGTTTGGAGAGGGAAAACCAATTTGGGCGTTTCAGGAGGGAGAGCTTGCCACACCCCATCTTCTTAAGTCACCTCGTTTTATCGCCTTCCTCACCACCCTGCGAGTGTAGAGGCATCCAGCCCATTTTACAGAAGAGGAAACTGAAGTTTAGAATGATGGAGTAGCTCGCCGAAGGGCAAATGGACCGTAGGTAAGCTGGAGGTGTGTGTTTGAAAGCAAGTGAACAGAGAGGAACATGGAGCAACGGGGCAGCGAATGGACAGTGCAACGCAGATGTGCCCTCAGACCACGACTGGGGTCTACATTGGAGTCTTACTTCCAGTGTGGATTTACCCCCATGAGTTCCCAGTCCTGAATCCGGTCACTTACTCAGAGCAGACCCTCATTCATTTCATTGCATACCGCTTACCGCTAGGAAAGAAAATGGTCCTATGGCAGGGGTGGGGTGGGGTGGGGGAGCAGTGTGATAGGACAGCAGGTAGGGTGTTTCCCTTGCACATGGCCAACCTGGGCTCAATCCCCAGCATCCCTTATGCTCCCCCAAGCTCGCCAGGAATGGTCTCTGAGCACAGAACCCCGAGCACGCTAGGTATGACTCCAGAACAAAACAAAAAACCCACAAGAAAACAACCCTATCAAATTCACGTCTTCAGGG